GTTTTCTAATATCGGAATATAACTATATATTATTGCGAAAACTTAATTGGTGAATATGGAGTTTGCTCTTTGTGAGTTATGATATTGGATGCTTTTTATATATTCTGAAAAAACTTTTGAAAATTCTAAATCAAGGTCGTCTGTTTGAATTGTATATTTTCTATTATTATGGTTTGGTGAGGTGAATTCTATGGAGTAGATTCCATACTGTTGTGTTATGTTGCATATATCTTTTAAGTAGTGGTCTATGATTTGTCTTTTGATTTTTACATCTGGGAACTCTGTTTTACATGGACTAATTCCGGGTTCAAATAAATTTAATAGTAAACTTTTGCAAAATATATGCTGTCCTCTATCGGTGGTTGCATCTACTATAAAAGGAAAGATTTCATCATCATCTGGACTTTCTTCACCTGGGGTGTGCGTTGAGCTCATTTTTTCGTTCGATGACTGTTAATATGTAATTATTAATGTGTCGAATTGGTTGATTCCAATTGTATAAATGTACTGGTTTGTGTTTATACTGCTTTTTTATTCTTCTTTTTCCTCTTTTTGATGAATTTGAAGTTGTTTCTGAGTCAGAAAAATATAATTGATCGTGAAGTGGGCAATTTTTATCTATTGATTCTTTTAGTTTGTAAAGTTCGTCTAAACTGTTGGTTTCTGATTCTGAAAATGCGTTTCGATTTTTTGAAAATCTTTTTCGTGTTATTTGTCTTTGTTTCGTTGTTATTTTTCTTTTTAGTGTTTGTCGTTTTGTTCGAATGTATCCAACTGTTTGTGTATGAGGTGTGATTACAAGGTCGTATTTTTTGTTATCTATTTCACAATTGTGTAAAACAATTGTTTGTTTATTTCCTAGGTTTTTAAATGACATAAGGTTTAGGATGACGGATGCAAAAGGTTGTTAAATGGTTTCTATTTTCTTAAACTGTTAGTTCTTACGATTTTTTGGTTAGCTTAACCTGGGTCTGTTTGTTCAGGGTTGGAGAGAAAAGTATATCGATTCCGAAGAATGATTTTTTACTTTCTCGTGGCTAGTATAAGTTAAGGTGTTAACTTACTTAATCTTACTTAGGGGTAGTGATTGTGTTCAAGGGTTGGAGAATAGTAAATCGATCCACAAGGTTCAGGTATAATTAGAACGCGAGTAGTTCGTTAGATACTATTTTAAACTTACTAAGTCTAAGATTTATCCTGGGTCTGGTAAGAGGGGGGGTCAAGTGAAGGATGAATAACCGAAGTTCTTCACTGTTTATCCTAATTTGAATGATTAGTTTTGTTTAAAAATTTCTATTAGTCTTAGGTCTTTAGAAAGGGTTGGGTAGTGAATCGACGTTTGAGGTCGTTAGACACTAATTAAGTGGGTGGGGGAGAACAAAGTTGTTCTGTTTGATCCAAGGATAAGCCTTGATGATCAAATTTGAGATTTAATTAAGTAGAAAATGATTTAAGATCCAAGGATAAGCCTTGATGATCTGGTTTTAAAATTAAGTGAATTTAAGTTTTAATAAAATTTTAAATGTGTGTAAAGGAAAGATTTAGTGTTTTGATGATATTAGTGGGTTTATGATTGCTGTTATGTTTTAGATGATGGAGCTGGAACAACAGGATGATTTATGATTACTAACCATTTATTGTCATGCTACTAATTTTTATTTTTTATTTTTCAATAAATATTTTTCAAACATGTTTTGTATATTACTGCAGAGTTTTAGGAAAACGATCTTAGATCTTTTTATCAATCGTTATTGTATATTAATAATTTTGTTTAGCGCCTGAAATGATTTTGAAGATTAACTTCAAGGTTTTATGTTTGCAAATGAAAATCTAAATTCATTGCCAGTAGTATTCTAAATATAAAAGTTTGTTCTGGTTTTTGCCTAACTATCATATAGCTATATGGCAAGTTTCTACTTTGTCGTATGTCGTCTCTGGTTTGAGGTCTTTTTCCAATTCCGGGTAGTTCTGTTATGGTTCGGAATATTGGCTCTGATCTATTGAGTCGTAGAGACATTTCGATTAAATTATTGTCGTATAACATTTTGTAAATGTTTTTGTCTAATGTCTAATCTATTTTGGTTAATTCTAAGCTATTAAGGTCTTGTTCGAGACTTATGGTCGCACCAGATGAGTTAGGACCGAGTTGGTTAACTCATAGAGTAATTTCGGATAGGGTACACCGTCTGCTCGTCACGCTATCTTATTTTCGGCCGGATAGATTCGTGCAACTTCTTAGTCTAATACCGATCCTAATCTTACTCTTATACTATCTAGTCTCAGGTTGTTTAACTAGTCTCTGCTAGGCTCAATAGATCTAGGGTATACTGGTTTATTGCGGCTGCTGAAGTGCTCGGGAGAGTCCAACTAATTTCTAAGTTAAATTCAAATCTCTCTGGTGCTGAAATTACAAGTAACTTCAGCACTTACAAATAAGTGGGTTGTTAGTTAGATGGATCATGATTGGTTAATATTAAATACTTTACATTGGTAAAATATCTAAATTATCCAATCATAAAATGTAGTTTAGATCAGGTTCCATGAGGCACCTTTTGAAAAAATCAGGGTTGGGTAACCAAAAGCGGATGTAGTAAAATATAACACTTTGAAAAAATTTGTTAACCACAACTGACACTACTGGTTGGACTGATAGAAGACTCAGTTTTCACTTTTTTACGCTGGAAAATCATGTGAAAATTGGTCTGCTAAAAAAGCTCCCACGTAAATAGAACCTAAACGTACTGAAGTTTGACCGTTTTTCAGTTTGAAAAAAAAAATTACCCGACCTTAAAACTCGAATTTTTTAATAACCATTGAACTATATAACAATTATTGCGTGTGCATGAGGAAAAGTAAGAATAAAAAAAATCGAGGGTAAATTTTTAAAAGTTTTGATTTCCATCTTTTGTAAACGAGACGTTTTTTATCACACTTCCGAAGGACTTTGAAATTTATGATTTTGACGACGGTTCAGAGCAAATTTCACATTACAACTGAAACCAGTTAAAACAGCGCTAATGGAGCTACTTTTTTCTTTAATAAAATTGAATTTTGAAATTATTTTTAGCATGGGAAGCTTTCGATTTCTTAATTTCTCGTTACAAAAAAATATCATATCTGGAACGCTTGAAAAATTCAAAGTAAATAATATATTTTAATCAGGAGCGAATCAAGGATTTTCTTGAGGGAAGGGGCGGGCTTTGAAAAAAAATTCGAAAATTTTGTCAACTTATTTTAGGTCGACCAAGTTAATTTTCCGAGCTCTCTCTAAGCACTAAAAAGACCCTGCTTTGGCCAAACTTTCTGCGCCGCAGAAAAAATCGCTCCCCTGATAAATGGTACATATTCGTGCCAAAGGCGCCTTAGAAAAAATTTAAGGTCATTCAGCCAAAAATTCTTAAAATAGTACCAAAAGTGGGACCGTTTGGGCAGTCAGGGGGTCAAATGCGCTACTGATTTTTATAGTGAATTTTTCTTTCAAACCAAGTACATTGTTTGCTCTTGCGCTCAGTGATGAACTTATTATAGCTAATGAATTCGGATTGCTTTCCATGCGCCGCGAGTTTTGAGTCTTTTAAATGTCCTTTCAAATATTGAGTAAACGTAGTTCAATGTCCATTCACGTAGTTCAAATTTGAGTAAACTTTCTCTAAAAGATTTGTTGAAAATAAATCAAGAGCTAACTTACTCGAATATTTTAATAGATAATAAATGTTATCCCCACTTTACGAGTGATGAATCCATGAAAAGCTAATTTTATTTTTTCTAGAAAAATGACCTGAGTTGAGAATAGACTCCAGTTAATAAATGGAAACAAGAAGTTTATAGAGGAGGACAATCATGTTTAAACATAGAGAGGGTAGATCAAATGAAATGATAGATCAAAATCAGTAACTGCTACTTTTGCTGTTTGATTTGTAGAGTTATTTACCAGTATCAGACGTGACTTGTAGCATCTAAAAGATAAAGCAATAAATAAAATATTTTTTTTTTCAAAAAAAAAAAAACATTTGATATTAAAAGTTGTATCTCTGATCATTTTAATGCTTACTTCTGCTATCATGTAGGGCTTTGTAAGAATTGCGATGCATAAAAGCAAATCAATTTTTTCAGTAATTAAATGAAATTGCTTTCAGGCGCAAACTATCAAATGAGAGCAAAACATTTAAAGGATCTGCACCGTATAATTTAACATCTGAAACTCAATTGAATGGTCCAGATTAGGCCAGAATCAAAAACGTTCGTTTCAAAAAAGACTGAACTTATACAATTTATTTATTATTTTTTTAAATATTGTAATTTCAAAATCAGGCATCTTCAAAGAGACTATAACACAGGGGCGGATGTAGGATTTTCTCGAGGGGGGAGGGGCGAATTTTCAAAAAAAAATTGAAAACTTTATCGACCTTTTTTTTCTTTTAGGTCGACCAAATTGATTTTCTGAGCTCTCCCAAAGCACTACAAAAACCCTGTTTTGACCAAAATTTCTGCGCCGCAGGCAAAATTTTGAAAAAACAGGAAAAAGTTTACCAAAAAATCACGTTTTTGCGGCGCGCGCTCCCCCCTCAAAATTAGTATATATTGGCGCCAAAGGCACCTTTAGAAAAATTTTAGGGTCCGTCACCAGAAATGGATGTCTCAAAATAGTACAAAGAGGGACCCTTTGGGTCGGCAGGGGGTCGAATCCCTGAGGGGGGGGGGTTCGCCCCTCCTCCTAAATCCGCCCCTACTCTAACACACCCTTAAAAACTAAACGAAAGAAAACTATACTGCTCTAACGATGAGCGTCTAATTCTAAATAGCTCGAAATTTAATTCTGATTAGCTCTGATTTTAGTTTTCGCAATATTTTCCAAATTTAAATAGATAGCCGAGATTATATGTTCAGTCGAGATGATATAGTGCAATATTATCAATTGATCCTGTTTCAATATTTTCAAATCGTGACGAGGGTGACAATTCTTTATTTTTCAATTTACAACGCATATTTGGAGCTTTTACCTTGAGGAGCGGCCATCGCAAGCTCGTTGCTGTTTTTCCTGTCTGCATGTTCATTGGCAACCATGCTCTTCGAGTCCTTTTTGGTTTGACACGTGTTCACTTCGCCCGGTTGGGATGCTGTGCTGAACTTGACCGGGAAGTGATCCCTCCAGCGGTTACTCGAAGTGTTGCTGGTGCGGGATGTGTCCCGACGGTAGCAGGTGTGCCAGATATCGTAGAGACAGGCGGCGGAATGGAACCGGAAGAAGATGGCGAGGGGTCCGAAGATGTGCGAGATGAGTGTCCAGTGCTGATCTCCGAACAGACTGACTTGCATGGGGTTCACATCACCCTCAAAGTTCATCTCAAACATCTGAGTCACCCACAGGGCTGCAACAAATACATGTAAAGTTAATCACGAATTGTTGGCAAAGTTCTTTAAATTGCGGTCAAAACGTCTGAACGAAATTCAAAGACACATAATTTTTTCATTTTGGTGTCGGCAACTAGTTCGGGCACTAATTTTAACGAGGAACAGGGTGAAAAACCTGACTAAAATTTGATGTAGATCTAGCAGATTTAATTTAGATGCTTTTATTGTGCACAAAAAGTCCGGTATTTGAAAAGGATTTAGTCATAATCCGGCAGCAGTCGTGGGCGCTAACCATGTTCGACACTTTTTCTGGCCGATTGAAATAATCAAGGCCACCATCGATATCATCCAAAATTTGGCAATAACTGTACAACACAGAGGCAAAGCTGTCCTTCATAAATTCAAAAAATGGCAAATGAGCGTTTAAACTGCAAGAAAAATTAAAAATTACATGGCTTTTAAAGATTAGTTGGCATTCAAAATTTTTTCAAAAAAATGCAAAAATAGAAAAAACTTAAGAAAATTCGTTTCAACATATTTTTAATTTTTGCTAATTATCTAAGCTTTCTTTTAGGTCCTCCTTTCACCAACCGCGCACAAAAAAAAACATGACATCCTAAGTTTGAAAAAATCGGAAAAACTAACACTCTTGTTAATTCATGTGATCAGCTGAATAATCTAAAATTTTCCAAGCTGCTCCGTCTGTGTGTTATATGCTACCCATATGTTAACATATTTAGATCAAAACACATCGCAACGGTATTCCAAACTAACTTGACTTAACTTATGCGATCGACCAAATCGCAGCTAGTTAGAACAAGGGGTCTTTCTGAATGTTGGTAAGACTTTCCTATTCTTATTCAACAGACAAAGTTTCTTTCACTCGTAAATAGGTATATTATTTCAAATATAGAGGACACACATCAATTTTATATCAAGAGACATTGGGGTATGGATTTATAGTTATCGAGATAGAGATTTGAGATTTTGGTTATTAGGATGGTTGGGGGTCTCAGTATGAGAGTGGTTATGAGATTTGAGAAAGTGATGAAGTGATGTTTGATATATTTTCGCTTGGCTTATATACCGTAGATTTTGATATTTTCAACATTTATCAAGGTCCATTATTTCACCTTCTTCGAGATTGGTGATTTTAGACATTATTTTTGAATTTTATTGATTTTTGCAATTGCTGAGAAGTATCAGAGGAAGGTTTTGGAGGTTGAGAAGTTTTTGAAAGAATGATTCTGGGCTTATTTTTGCTGGTTTATATAGATCAGATTCTGATAAAATTTGTTTGTTTAAGACAGGTTTTAGCAAAGCCGGCTGTTCAGTTATAATTGGCATACTATACTGCTATACTGTGCCGTATTTGTTTTTACTGGCACGTGTCTACGGTCGTTGGGAGGGGTTTAATTTGCAATTTAAGACGATGCTTGAACCGATGCTTGAATCGATCTCTACCATCTGTGAATCTTTTTAGGAAAAGATTTTTTAGTTCAGCCCAAGCAGTAGCATTAGTTACTTCATCAGTATACCATTCAAGAGCTGTTTTTGTTAATAAAGATCCAAACAAACTTTTTTGTCTGTGATCATAGTTAGGCTGAGCGCCAGCGTCTGTGGGTCGTTGCCCTAGTGAGAATACAATTTTATTCTCAACTGAAGTCCAAAAGGCTTTTGCGTTTAGGTCTGAATCATTTCCTGAGAATGATACAAAAGACAAGTTAGGATGGGTGATTGGGTGATCGGCCATCTTACTTTTTTCAAGTTAAGATATCCAATTTAAAGTTTTGAAAATTTGAATTTTGATGATTTCAACTTTATGAAAGTTCGAAAATTTGAAATTTTGATAACTTCAATTTTTGAATTTTTGATAGTTTCAACTTTTTGAAATTTGATAATTTCAACTTCTGAAATTTTCAACTTTTTGAAATTTTGATAATTCCAATTCTTGAGTTTTTGATAACTTCAACTTTTTGAAATTTGATAATTTCAACTTTTGAAATTTTCAATTTTTTGAAATTTTGATAATTTCAATTTTTGAATTTTTCAACTTTTTGAAATTTTGATAATTTCAATTTTTGAATTTTTGATAATTTCAACTTTTGAAATTTTCAACTTTTTGAAATTTTGATAATCTCAGTTTTTTTTGAGATTTTGAAAATTGAGTGAAATTTTGAAACTTGTGTGCCTCACTGGTCGCACCAATTATTCCAAACTAACTTGACTTAACTTATGCGATCGACCAAATCGCAGCTAGTTAGAACAAGGGGTCTTTCTGAATGTTGCTAAGACTTTCCTATTCTTATTCAACAGACAAAGTTTCTTTCACTCGTAAATAGGTATATTATTTCAAATATAGAGGACACACATCAATTTTATATCAAGAGACATTGGGGTATGGATTTATAGTTATCGAGATAGAGATTTGAGATTTTGGTTATTAGGATGGTTGGGGGTCTCAGTATGAGAGTGGTTATGAGATTTGTGAAAGTGATGAAGTGATGTTTGGTATATTTTCGCTTGGCTTATATACCGTAGATTTTGATATTTTCAACATTCCATCTGTTAGTTAAACCAATCAGAAAGAAACAACACATGCTGTAATGTTTGCTTTTGGTGATATTTTATCAACCGAGCAAACACGTAATTTCAAGTCAAAAGTTTAAAAATTATGTTTCTGATTTCAAGTCAGAACATATGGTAAAAGTTTAATAATTGTGTTTCTGATTTCAATTCAGAACAACGGATGCTATTCCGAATGGTATCGAACTTGCGTTGAAGGATATAGATTGAGGTGACCTAATAATAACGATTGATTTCTAACCTGCACCCTATAATATCAACTCGTCTGAATTTTACGTATTGCATTATTAACTCAAAAAAACGTAGTCTGTTCTAAATGCACATTAATTACAATATAAGTTAAGAAAAAATGTTCATACGGTTGTTTGCACAAACGATATATTGTAACAAAAAAACGGTTGCTGTGCAAGTTGTACTGTATTTTCTGAACAAATCGAATCACGAAATAAAATGCCATCCGAAGTGAAATTGTTCAAATTTGCTCTCACTGAAACGCTTTTTTATGCTTTTTTAAAACGTTTCAGAGACATCTGAAAACGGACATTATTTGTCTAACTAGTGGCGATCTCCTCGACTGGGTTGCTGCAAGCTAAATTATCAATTATATAAATCATAAATAGGCTGCTTGAATTTGGACCCATACTGAAAAAAATATATATATTATCATATTATAATTCAACAGCAAAGTCAATTCAAATAGCCTTTAGGACATCCAGTTTTATCAAAAGCGAAAGGGGGACTGGAAAAGAGTTCTTGTACTTACCGACGTTTCCGCCTAGAAGAACGAGGATGAAGTTACGAGACATGTCAGTGGGCGCTGCGACTCTTCTAAGAGAGTCCAGCAGAAACACAGTCTGCACCACAGACTGCACCAGGTGGCTTCCATATCCGACCAGAGTTCCGATGGCGTCATCATTGTCGTGTGAGGGATGCTCGATGCCATGGATTCCTGCGAACACTGAGAAGAGAGAGTAGAAGGCTATGCCCCCCAGAGCGATGAAGAGGAGCGGGGCGTCTATGCGGTTGTGGAATCGCTTGTTGATGCCTCGTTTTCTGAGGTACGTGTGGATCAGAGCTATACACCCTAAAACCAAATAAAACAAGGATAATTAGTTGCTGAGCAAATAGCACAGAATAATCCGAACACTAGTTTAAGCACAGAAAATCAAAAATACGCATAAGGGTTCTTTGTTTTGTAGTAAACGTTTCTAAATGCGTCTGTTGAATTAGGTAAAAACTTACAATTGAGAAGTTAAAACAGCTAAGAAACTGAGTGTCATCAAATCTTGTGTAACTTAGTCTGGAAGATGGAAATTTACCGCAAATTTTTCTCGACGCACAATTTTCTTTTTTGGAATGTGAAGAAAGGCTGAAGGGACCTTAATGCCAGATTTGTCCCCGTAAGAAGTTTTTTTGAGATAGTTAAAGTGGGACAGGAAAACTACCCAACGATATAGTTTGTTATCACTGTGAGACTACATTTTTCATTTGGATAGCTTCATCTTTAAAGCATAGCCAACAGACAGTTGGAAAAGTGTCAGAAACTCAAGGAAATTTTGATTGATATTTAAGAAAAACAAATTTTTAGCTTCGAAAAACTTTATATCCTTTGCTGGGAAACTGAAAATTGATTTAAGAAAAAAAATAAAACAAAAAGTCAACAAGTTTTTCAGCGTCATTTGCACTTTTCTAATTGGAGCGCATAATTTTCCTTCCTTTTTTTCTAAGAATCTGAACTGAACTTCAAAAAAATCAAATGTCAAACTGTGAAAAACCAAAAAACAAACAAAAACCAAACGACCTCTAATTTCTCTAGTTTCTTCATTTCGTTCATTGACACTTAAAACAATGCGTGTTTTTATGGATGCATGGTGTTTGTTGTTAATTTGACTTGCCGAGCATGATGATGTTGACTGTGAATATGAACCAATGGAACACAAGAGGTAGTACAGGGTACTCGTTGCTGAACAGACTAGAACAAAAGAGAAAGTATATACTCTATGACTGGCAGAATCAGGAGTAAAGAAGACAATGCAAGTTGTCGTTTATAAGTGTGGTTCCGCTGTTTTAGAAGAGACCTTGAGCTACTTTTGCGGATTACACATCTAAACAAGGTTCTGAGACCATTAACGATTTAAAGGACCGTTTTTTCTAAAAGGGTATAACCAGGCGTATTTTAGTTATATGAGCTAAACGGTTCTTGAAAAATACTTGCTCGGTGACTAATGAAATTAAGAGTTTCTAAAAGGATAAAAATTATAATCAAAATTGATCGGATTTGTTGCATTTTCCGAATTTCTATAACTATTGGATGAAGTGATTATTAAAATGAGCTTTAAAACGAAGACAGAAGAAAATTTCTGGCACCCAGGTGACTCTTTTCTAAATGACTGTAAAGCATGTCATATTTTTAAAGTGGGACTAACTGTTTGAATCCGACCAGTACTCCGGTGAACAAGACGAGGGCGATTCCGACGAAGAATCCGGAGAATGTCTCCTGGAAGAAAAACTGGCTGTTCGTCTCTGACTTGTGGCCTCCGCCATACACCACTGTTTTGTGAGAGTCCTAAAATGACACAAAAAAATTTCAAGAAAAATTGATTTCACTAAAAAAACGAAAATAATTTTTAATTAAATTGACACAAAAAAAAACATTTTCAAACAAAAGTTAATTTCAAATGAAGCTAACGTAATTTTTTTAATTTACACACTCTTGACGAATCTTAACACGCATAATTCATCTCTTTTACCGACTGTTATTCATAGTAAATTAATGATTTTCGGATGGTGGATTTCAATTCTATCGAAAAAATTTTACAAAAGCAAACCTAGCATATCTATATCAATTTTATTTTTCACTGTGATCAATATTTGCTTTTGTTTCTATACGAACTACGATAAAAACTTTACGTAAATTGTTGATACAAAGCTCGTACCATAAGTTATTAGCCTGTCTGAGCAACGCCGCATATGTGTTTGTTTATATATTTTGATACTTTTACCTTTTCTCGTAATTTTTTGCATTTTTAGCCGGTATTTTTCATTATTTTGAAGATATCCATTTTCGTAATTCATTCAATACAACTGGCAGCGATTTGCAACCCAGATAGGTTCGTTAGCTGTCCCCTCGATGTTTCTGGCGCATCATGTTAAAAATTTTGTTGGTATTTTTACCAGTGATGTCCGTTTAAAAAAATGAACATTGAATTTTTAATACAAAAATTTTCCGAATCAATTTTTTTCGCCGAAACTATTTAAATTTTCTATAGCAATTTAAATTTTTCTGAAATTGTTTTTTTTTACAATTTTCTCAAAATTCCAAATTAATATTTTCCTGATGTTCTCATTTTGAGCTGATTTGTCCCTACTTTCGGTTTAAAAAAATGAGGCTTTAACAATGAGAGATAAACTCTTCTTCCTTATATTTCCTCAGAAGTTTAAAGCAACCTTGAACTTCACGCGCAATTACTGACCTTGACGACGTGTGGTTTGCCGACATTGGTTGACATGATTGCGAAGAAGCCGCCCGCTATGAGGTAGAGTTCGATACTCATAGGGAACAGGAAAACCTCTGTCTTCTCTATGTTCTCGTGGATGGTCGAGTTCTCCAGATACTTCGCACACATTTCCCTGTGTTCTGACAACATATGCAAAAACAATTAACATCAGTGAGATATAAAATAAAATCAAGTTAGAAACTATGGCTCTTTTTCCTTTTGCCTCTTCCCCAGTTGCAATTTTTTACAGGTAAACTTACTTCTCACGCTGTTCGATTGTTGTAAAAATTTGAATGCGGACTAACTAGGCCATCACAAACGTACTTGATCATCTTAATTAACCTTGTAAAACCACTCGTTGCACCAAATAATTGATGCTCGTGTGAGGTTGGGGGAAAAGAAAAAAGAACCGAAACTATTTATCAATTACAATTGATGCAAACTACCTCAAAACACGGCAAGTGCAAGACGTTACAAAAGCAGAAATTACGAATAAAAGTGTGAAAACATACAAAAATCATGAAAACATACAGACCAGAAAAAAAGTAAACGGTTTCAAAGCAAGGAAAACCAGAAAAATTTGACGCACTGTGTTAAAAATGGGTCGACGTCATTTTGGGGGAAAAAGGAGAAACTAAACTTCGGCTATAGGCCAAACTGACAAAACCCGAAAAAAATCTACCAACATTTTTATAAATAAATTCAACCCAATTTGTCTTGAAATCTTTAAGTTCATTTTGAGAACAATATGCCAAATGAGACATCTGATGTTGAATTAGTATAAGAAAAAATTGATGCGGCGATAATAAAGCAGACAATATGAGATCTCGTTAAGTCCAAAAATATATATTTTCATAAAGAAAAAACTATGTTTAACCCCCTCAAAACACAAACACGCACAAAAAAATCCGCTCATTAAACAACACAACAGAGGTTGCTAAACCGATGAGATGTGAGCCTCAACGTTTTAAGGCCAATTAATAGAAAAAAAATTGAAATTCTGAAACTATTCTGAAAAATTTATTAGCAACATAGAAAACAATTTTGGAATGAAAAAGCTATTTGAAAAGCAGTCAAGCTAGAATATATTTGCTGGCTCACAAAAGGTTTTAAAAAATGATTTAGTTACTCTTTTAGACAATTTTTTCATCTAGAAAAAGAATGTTCCCCTACTATGATAACGCTTACTCATCGCAAGCCTGAAAAATCAGTTTTTTTTTAAATAATTTTAAAACTTTGTATATTTTTTGCAAATATAATTTACAAAGTTTCTTTTGAATTTTTGAAAATGACATTTAATATTTCGTCGACCCTGAATAGAAAAAATTGAAAAAAAGCAAAATATGTAAATAAGCCGACAGGGTCAAATCCGACACCCAAAAAATATTAGTTTTTTCTTGCTAACATTGCCAAAGGAAGAACACTGAATGTACTTGCCAATATCAATACACAACGGCATACATGCATCATCAAGATAAAAATCTACGGCGAGCATTTACCATTTCTAATTGTCGCCATTTTGTTAGCAAGTTAATTACGCGAAAAAATCTTGTACCCGATTACAATACTCGCAAGGGTAAACAACAAATGTTGCTTCCGAAGATTTTACGGCCGTGAAGTGTTTCTCCAAGGACCCATCTATATTCTATGGACCCAATTTTCACACTGTAAACTAAACATACTATTGCTTTTACTGTGTTGTGTCAATTATTTCTGCTCATCATAATCATTTTTGAGCATAAATTGTTTTCCAGAAACGCGTGAGCTGAACTGAAAGAGTGTTCGAACATTTTATATTTTGAATGCTTCAGAAAATGAGAACCAAATTGAAAGTTAGTTTCAGAAGGACCAGACGATCTTCTCGGTTAATCCGGTGCCAATTTAACACAACCATGAGAAATATTTGCGACATAATTTAGTTAGTCATGTTTTGAAAATCTTGAAAGTTGAAATTTTTGATATAAACGGAGAAATTCTTTGAGCAGTATATTGATGTGATTTCATCATACAGAAGGTTTCATCATATAGTGATGTGATGGAACCTTAATACCAGAAGATGGGCTAACAGAAAAGATCCGGCCGAGTGATAGATTTGATTTATGGAAAACATTCAGGGTTAATAATAGATGAATTTTTGTGCTGTCAAGTACAAATATTAACAAATCACAATCGAGATACTCTGCAGTACGTAATTCGCGGAGGTCGCAATTACCCTGAGGGGAGGGAGGACATTTTTTTGGAGAGGGGGAGGTTCAAAAATATCATGGGAGGTCTGGAAAATTTAGATCAAGTTTTATAAAAAAAAATAATGACAAAATTGAGCCAAAAACTCAAAAATTGGCTTGAAAATCAGCTTTTAATCCAGGCGACGTTTCCCTGCAGGGAAAAAAAAACTTTTTGATTTGGAGCTCTCAAAAAGGGCACATTTTTCTAAAACTTTGGCTCCAAATTTAATGGAATAAAAATTCCTGTCATTACGAGGCCAAACTGTTGTGCACTGGATAGGAGCACAATTTGTGTCTGTATGTTCCTGGATTCCAGAGCCAAGTCTTTAAACATGTTGAAATTTTGTCGGAACAATCAAAGAAATTTAAAGAACAAAAGAAGAACAAAGGGAGCGTCCTTGTTGCGGAATCCGCTTACAATGCACAAAATGCACAGTTTGGCCTCGTAATGGTGGGATCCATTCGGACCCCCAAAATTTGGAGGATTCAATATTCTAGGGGGGGGGGGGTCTATGAAAAAATCGATTTGTGTTGGTTGCGGGGGGTGGGGTTCCGACAATTAAGTAATGCAGAGTAATAAAAACAAACGTATGCAAGTATAATAATAAATTGTTACGTAAGTTTGCTTTCTGATCTCAATTCTGATAGGTTAATATAGTATTTTTCTACTTAACGATGTGTCTACTTTATGACTTGTCTACTCTTTGCTACGTAGCCATTTTATCTAGGCATTTGGGCTGAAGATAGAAACACACAATAATGATCAATCTAGTTAAAGCTGCACATAGACGAAGCTGTGCCGCATTGTCCTTACCGTCGTAAACTGTGACAGAAAATACTCGGCTTTTAGCACAATTCATCTGATGAAAGGGGGAGGGCGTTCAACAGTGCCGAAAAACAACAGTGCCGAAAGTTGATGATTTTCGGCGCTGTTGGACAATTTTTTCCGGCGCTGGTGAACAATTTTTTTCGACACTGTTGTAATGTCTAGAAGGAGGGCATAACCTCTTCTTAGAGCAAACAGATGCCCGAAAACTGTATTAGCCAATCATAAATACTTGAAACCTCGAATCTCATAAACTTTAAAATCTCAAAATCAGCTGGAAAATGAGTCAGATTTGAACTGTTTAGTGAAATAAATTGGGTGAAAATTTTCGTTCTGCTGTTCACGAGAATATCCCGATTATGAACTAGCATTTAATTCGAGGGAACACATTTGAAACTACTCACACAATTTTTTAAGAGGATAAACAAAATGTATGAGTACTGTGTAAAAATGCTTGTCGCCTGTTCATAATAACACGGGGTCTCGAAGGCTAGACAGACTTTCTAGACGAGCATCAATCTCTGTTTCTGATGGGAGGTCCAAGTACAAGCATGATAGTTGGGTGCCAGGAAAAAGCAAGTACGACAGATGGTTTCCGCGATTTTTGCGAACACTTCGAGACCACAAGTAAACAATGATAGCCGGTTGCTGTGCAAGTATTACAGAATTACAGAATGATCCAATCATATTCAAATAAAAAGTTTTTTTTTCGTTTCTTTCCTTCAAACTAGAGTTGGTTCTAGTGCCTAGTGTGATTTGAAAACTAAACAAGCGCGTAGCAACTTAGTGAATTAAGCATAACCGACAAAATTTATCTCCAAAAAAGAATGACACAGAAAAAAGACAAACATTTGAAAAGAAAATTATTATTTTTTCTAATTTGTTGCAGAACAATTTTTTAAATAAAAAAAATCTTTATTGCCGAAAAAGCAGTAAATTTGACATCCCAAACTAAATTTCTGTATAGTACAGTTGAGTTTTTTCAGCCTGAAAGTCTAAATAAATGTAAAATTTCATATAACGATCGGTACTCGATCGCTTTACTCGCTCGAAATTGAACTAAAAACGAAAATTTTTTCACCATTTTATCTCGACACTGGGAAAACTTTTTAAAAACTTCTTATTTTGCTCGAATCACGACTGAAAAAGGCTTTAATTTAGTATATCAAACGACCCATTTCAATGCGTGCAAAAAAAACACACATGAATATAAAGTTCCTCCCCGTTTTCAATAGACTGAATAAAAAATGCAATATGGGAGCCATAATTCCGAATATTTTAAGGCTTACGAATTATTCTTTAGGGACACATATAAGTTGAGGAAACCCATTTATCATACTTGTATCGCGGTCTTTTTTTAAGGGCGGTCTTTCTTACACCCGCATTTTCTTAAAAATTCTTATGATACCATGATATTTCTGATGCAGATGCCGACGAAGAAAGTGATCAAGGCTGTCAAAAAGAGGCGAATGTGTCTTTCATGAATAAAAAACTAAATAATTGCTAAGAAGTTTTCATAAGTTAATTTTCAGAAGATTTTTTTGATTCGGGTCTAGTGAATTAATGTCGGGTGCGCAATAACAGTGATCACATTAATTTCAAGTGCGCAGAAATAATAAACACAGAGGCGAAGAAAGCAGCAAAAGCAGCTCTATAAAATGCAAAGTGAAAAAGTAGAAATACGCCTCAAATTAGTAAAAGTTCGGCTACTTCTCGGATTCGACTACTGCCACCTAGATATTATGACTCTCCCGCACTAACCACTCAGCCACGGACGCTTCATTTAACACAAACGCTAGCCAAAAATAAAAAATAAAACAGATGGTATGCAATTTCAAATGCTACAGTGAAATTGCCATATAAGTGAACACTTTTATTTCCGAGTTAGATTAGAAAAAAAGAAGGTTCGTACTAATAAACTAAAGCTAGCAAGCTCGCTACTGTGAAAACCACAACTGAATATCAGATGGGATCGAGTGATATATTAATTAAACCGCTTTTAGTCAGGATTCGAGTGGCAACAGAAGTTTTCGAAGTAATTTTTTGTTCACATTTTCTGATTTTTACAATAAATGGCATGCTGTTTATCTCATTACATTATGAAAATGTTAAAACAATTTTCAAATTTGAATTTCAAATGCGGGGGCAGAGAGTGCAAAAGAGCCGTAAAGATTTTCCATGTCCACAAAAAGGGCCGAAATGTTATTTTTGCAACATGTCAGCACCAATATACACCAAAAAAATCTATATGAAATTTCAATCTGAAAATTATTTGACACTTGCTCAATAACCAACTGATGACGTTTTTATATGTAATTCAAGCAAAGTCGGCCATTTTTTCGTAAGGTAAAATATTAGTTTACTTTAGTCTGTCTTATTCTTCATTTTGAGCCCTTTAAAAAAGTTGTAGACTGACGCGAAGCTGCACTTCGCAAATACAAGCGAGAAAACGACAAAAAGAGGCTCTAAGAAGGTTTAAAAAATAAGGAAAGCAAAGATAAATAAAAAAAAGCATTGAAAATAAAACTTCGTTTATATTCTTCCCGTATCGTAAATAATACCTATCGTAAATGTCAAGCTAAAGCAACTTCAGTAAAACTTCCTAGTGTTAGAGAAGGTTGGACAGTGAAGATGAAATTACTAGATCTGACGCTAAACAACTCCCCATCTCAGAAAACACAGAGAAAACAATTACAGACATCGCTTTATCTTGGACCATAAGCCGCCGTTCTTCATAACTAATAGAATAACTCCATAGAACTTTTTCTGACTTGAAATCATACTTTTTGACAAAATGTGTAATATAGCGGCAAACATGTAAGATACCACTCGGCATCGTAAAAACTTTCTTTTTGTTGCATGATTTTTCACAGAATTTTTTAGGCAAAAAATTGCAGAAAAAAATATTCGAACGTAAAGGTCCTCCGCTTCACTGCTTGGCAAGATCAGCAAGCGAAAATTCATCTCATCAACTGAGCTAGCATTTTGGGTAGCTTTAAATTAGCGCAAGAAATAGAAAGACGTTTGTTTTATCCGGGATCACGCAGTTGGTGATTATGGTGATGATGAATCAAACTTTATATTTTTTGCTCATCGGCGTACGTAATTCATGACTATTGTGTTATCATAGAAAATTTGAAACAATTGCTCGAGGATTAAAACACTTGCTAAGGGAAATATTACGAATGGCAAGCTTTGTGTTTCAGACAAACAATCTGCCAAAGACTTGCCAAAAAACTGACTATACCAGAAAATAGGAAGCCTTTATATATGAAGGCAATATAAAAACCTCAAGCGCTCGTAATTCAAAATTTGAAAGTTATATTTTCATATGATTTTCGGCATCATCATTATTATCATTAAATATCAACCAAAATCTGTTTATTGATCCAAAATTAGCCAATAGAAAGCCTCTTTTGCCATCTTTGGTAGGGGTATATAGCTACACATAAAATTAGTCTAATTATTTTGAAGTTCAAAAAAATCTATATTTCAGGGACGGATCAAAGATTTTCTCGAATAGTTTTTTAAGTTTTTTGAAAAAATTTGGTGGCCATTCATTTTAGATCGGCCAAATTGATTTTGCGTGCTTCCTTAAAACATCATAAAGACCCAATTTTGAAAATTTTTTGTTTTAAGGCACTTTTTGGAAGGTTTTGATCAATAAATCGGAAAACTTTTTTTTGATAATGCTTCTTTGACAACAAAGGTATTCCGAAAAAGTATTGTGGAAAACAAATGTTTGAATTTTTTTCATGTTTTGTTTATAATTCATTTTTGAAGACAAACCTTGCCTTTTTCACTAAATTCCTTGGCAATCGTGTAATTTTGAATCAAACCACCAACTGAAAAAATTAAAAACGACAAAATTTGTCTATTCATTTATGAATATAGTCGGAACATTCTGTGGATCTTCCACAGCAAACGGCTATTCTTGTTCGGAACATGGATTTCAACTAATACGCTTGACTTAATTTGAAATTTCAATGAGCTGGGTACTTGGTAGTAAAATTGAAAACAAGACTTCTCGTATCAGGGCGAAGCCCTGAAAGTTCCGACTGCCTTTTAAGGTTTATGGAGCAGTAATAACATAAACAACAAAAAAAAATGAAATAAAATAAAATGAAAATTTTTTTTTTTAATTTGAAAATTTTTCTATAAAAATCATCCCCCCACACGCCATATAAAGTACAAAACAATAGATTTCGCTCGTGGTAACAGATCAATTATGGCAAATAAGCTTCTTTTAACCAATTTGGAACGATTTATAAAACGGATTAAATCTCCGCTTACGCGTTATTAGCGCGAAATATATCGCGCGTTAATTGTCCCAAATTGGTCAAAATGGCAAACTTTGAACCCTCATAACATTACGAAAAATGATCAAAGGTAAAATATCGTTTCAAATTTAAGCCTAGGATAACAATAGCTTTCGAATGATATTAAAAAATTCCGTCAAAAATGGCTAGTTAAAAAGTCGAAATTTGTCTGAAGAAAAAAAACCCACCCCGAGCACAAATATTCCGTTACTTTCGTATCGAAAGTCGGAACAATAAATTTACTGGTCCAGCTGATAACATTTTATTAACTCCCTGATTAATAAATGTGGTCGGTCAAACAAATTTTAAAAACTTTTGAAATCAAAATGCAAATCAATTAGAAATGTTTATGAGCAAAATGCAAATCAATGCAAATTTTTACTGTCAAAAATGCAATTTATTATGATCAATGCAAATCAATTAGAAATTTTTATGAGCAATGACTTAAAAATACTTTTCCGTCTGAGATAAATAAAAATTAATTGAAAAAGCGCAATCGATGTTCATAGACACCAGGACAATAAAGTAGCGCATGCTTTTTAGCTATGCTATGCTTAACAAAAATATTGAGCCAATTTTGACTAATCCATCTGTTTAAAATGCAACGATTAGCCTTGTAGTCTAATCGCAAAACGCAAAATCAAGTCTTGAGATCTAATTTAAGTTAAACGTCTAGTTAAAAAAATTTTTGACGTCTTCTCAACTTTAATCTCTTAGCTCAAGATTTTTTCGATATTTCGAGCAGTTTGACAAAAATTGTCCACGTGAATAATATACATTATACCGTAACAAAGGTTCCCCTATCTAGGACGGTTGCTGAACTCCCCTATGCTGAACTCTTATTGGCTGAAAAAGAGTGTCTCTACGAAAATTAATGATCTTATCCCTAACTTCATTTAGGGAAGGGGATTAATCACTAGGTCCCAATAAATTTGTAGAGCACTATGTACATAAAAGTTGTGGTGAAGTGGTTACGTCTTTGCCTCTCAATCGAAAGGTCGGACGTTCGATGCCAACCATGGTCCGTGCTCGTTTCTTGAGGGTGAGGCAAGACTGACCAGACCAGAAAAATAACCAAAAAAGTGCATGTTATTCTTAAGCAGGGGCGCAACTGTGGTTCCCCGAGACGAACCGAACGCTCTTCCTTTCCATTGTGGATAAATCGTCTTAATCTACGCAACCCGATATTTTGTTGAGTTGTGTAGCGTCATGTGACACAAGGACAGACCCCGCTAAAACAAAACTGACCTCGTTCGTGTTCCCAATCCAGTGATTCTGTGAACTCGTCGGCGACGAAGCTGAACCAGGAGTGGAGACACACGGCCACTAGGTGGGACAGACAGAGCAGAGCCAAATTCGGACGATATGTAAACGTCACCTACACGCAACAGACAAAAAAAGTTATGCTCCAGTTTATATATCGATCGAACGTACGTTTTTAGAGAATTTTTCTGTTAAATGCCCTCTCGAAATAATTAAAACTTTTTGGCTGACTTTTATTTGAATGGAAGCTTGACTTTTGAAGACAGTGACGAAATATTTGTGCCCACGTGAGAAAGGAGAGATTTGCGAAAAATTTTATTGGTTTTGGATTCTATCAATTTTTACTCAAACTCAGTTTCAGATATCTTTAAGGGTGGTTGGAAAAATCAGGGCTCTGCCCTAATACAAGTAGAGTTTGTTGATGACAGTCGTTAAGAAAATCAGTAACAGAATATAGAAACAGAAGAATATAGAACGTAACTAGCCAGCAGATCTCTGTAACATAAGCAACCCGAAGTACCCAAATGTTTTCCATAATCTAAAGGCGCCTACAGGATATTTCCGAGTTGCGCGACCATCCAAAAACATTCCATAACATGAGACAGATCGCAAAAAAATTCATAAGCAATTCAGCCTATCAAGCGATGAAATTTTGAATATTTCAAGTTATTTTATCACGTGAATTGGTTCTAAAAAATTTTTCCGACGCAAACTCATCGATCAATGAACTTTTAATCCATTCTAAGCTATTTGAGAGCGCGAAGCAGTTTGCAGAAAACCAAAATGTTTCTAAGCTATCTCATGAAGCAAAGAAAATTTTAAAACTTTCAAATTACTTTATAACACGAACCTGTACGCAAAATGAGAAAAAATTTCTATACAAGCGCAATAGCTATCGTCGAAAACTGAGGTATATTCATTGCATGAACAAGTTCGCAATCATTTGAGTTTTCAGGCAAGTACATCAAGCAATGAAATTTTGAATTATTCGAATTTGCTTCATAGTTATGAAGTGGTTCGCAAAAAAAACTAAAAACAAACCAACCAACCTTATCAAACGCAGAAACTTCAATATATTTGAAGTTTTTTGTACCATGAATCGATTCGCAAAATTTTAAAGATGTTGAAGCAAGCTCATCAAGCGGTGAAATTTTGAAACATGTAATCTTTTTTCATCCAGGAATCGACTCGTAAAACATTAACTTCTTAGACAACCTCGTGAATCGAATAAACATCGAATAAAACCTAGAACTTAAAATAAGCCCATCAAGCTTTGAACTTTGAAAAGTTTAAATACTTTGATAGAAAGAAAATTTTCTCAGTTTTTTGAGCAACCTCATCAAGCAAGAAAACTTCTAATTACTTAAAATTATTTCACAGCATATATCGGTTCAAAAGCAAAGAAAAATCTTTAGTAGGCTTATCAAGCAAAAAAATTATATACCGAGCGACATTGAATTATTTTTAATTAGTTAGTTATAGTTTAATTAGTTAGTTAATTATAATATCTCGTTTTTCACAGCATGAATCTGTTCGCAAAAATAGAAAATATTTCATGCAACTTTTTCATTTCTATAGCAAAGTGCAAACACAGAAAACGTTTAAGTCATTTTCGAAGGTGAATCAAATCGCAAAAAAATTGAGTTATCAAGCAAAAAAAATCAAATTCAAGTTAACTGTCGGTATCTCATTCGAGCTGAAAATGCAAAATTCTCAAGCTAGGTTTTAACTATTTTACAAAAAGACAACTTAGTTAAGGGACAGGAACTGTCTAGCCTTGAAGTTCAATCAAATTGATCTTCTCTGAAACGATGACTTGACAAAAAAAACTTCTAGAAAATCCAGATTCAGAATTTTTAGTACTCTAGAATATTCTTGCTACGCTCAGCGGAGTGGCTTCCTTAAGCGGCGTTAAAAGGGTGTGATTACGTGGTGAAATGATGTGTTAAGCGGTGTCATCACGTGATGAGATGGAAGAATATGAACATAAGACCAGACTTTAAAATGACAAAAAACAAAAAAAAAATTTTAAGTTTTTTTGCAGTAACTTCTTTTGAAGTTTTTTATTCCCAATATGGTGCTAAAAAAAAAATTGACTAAGTATTTTACTTGACTTTTTAGAGCATGCCAAAAAATTAGAATGCAATTTACTACTAATTTTCGGCTACCCTGCTCGAATTTGCTCGATTGACTAGCTCGAAATTAGACGAAAAATCAACGTTTTCCCGAATGAAGTTCATTTTGAGGAAAACATGTCAAAAAATTTAGTTTGGAAAAACTGATTTTGCAAAAAATCGCAAGGGTTTGTTCGCGTAAAAAGTGACTAAATTGATGAAGCTTCACTGAATTGTCTCAAAACTCAATTTTGTGTATTGTTGCCTGGAGGTAGCTAAGACCCGTTAAGCCCAACAAAGAGTCCCACTGCAATAACGTATATATATTTTTTTAAAACTTTCGAGTTTTGAAGAATAAAATATCACCTTGAAGCTTTAAAACTTTGAAGAACAGTTTTTTATCAAGACTTATTTCATAAACTAGCCCCCATTAGAAAAATCTGGATCAATAAGTAAATTTTTCATTCCACTGGGAAACACCAAATTAAAATCGACTTTCAAACTGAAGATCATTCAAGTTTTTTTCTCGCTATTTCCACTTTTCTGATTGCAGGGCGTAATTTGTCTATTTTTGCCCTAAAAATTTGAATTCAAATTGAAAATAAATCAAAGTCAAACTGCAAAATTAGATTTTACTTGTCCAAATTTGAATTTTTTTTTCTGAAAATAAAAAACGGGAAAAAAAACATCACTTGTATAAGTGTATTTGCTAGTTGTGTTATTCACTATTGACATTTGAAAAAAAAAGTGTCAAATATCAAAGCTGAGCGTGATGAAATTTTAAGACTTTTTCTTTTAAAAAATCTTCCCGAGTCACGGCATATAGTGAATTTACATGTGGATGGGTGGATGGGGGAATGAGTACCTTTGAGAAGAGGAGCAAGAGTATGCACTGTAAAACATTGTAGACGAAAGAAATCATGTGGAACAGAGAGTATTCCTTGCTGCCACACTCTGGCTGCTGCAGAAGCAAGTTCATGTCCTGTGCCAGCTGCAGAGTGTTGTAGGCCAATGTCCCAATTGTGAAACCTATAAAAGAAAGAAATAATTTTTCCAATTATATAATATCATGTATTTTGTTGTACATCAATACATAATTTTTAGTATAAGTTATAAAACAAGAAAAATAAAAATCTTATTATATAAAAATAGCCAACATACAGTTAGAAAACTGTCACTGAACTCAGGGAAACCAAAAAAAAATTTTTTACTGATTCCTTCCATTTTTTCAAAATTCGGATTTCTGAGAAAAAGAATGAGGTTAGAGGTGTTTGAATTTCAAGAATCTTTTATGATTGGTACTTTTTTCATAGAATCAACCCAATTTGAGAAAACTGGATGAATACATGTATTTTTTCATTGCCTTGCGAGATCTAAAAAGTAAAATCCACTTTCGAAATAGCGATGCTACTATGCAATAAAAAAACAATTATGCAATAAAAGAATAAAATATTTAGCAATATTCAGCAAGCGGATGAGGCCACTGAGTTTTGTGAATACTGACCGACTAGTCCTGCCTTGAGGTAGAAAGAGCCATTGTGGGGGTCATACACAAGGTGGTTGTTACTGAGTCTCTTCTGCTTCCACTGCAGAAACAACAGACACAAAAGACACGCAATGCCGAATAGCTGGATGAACGAAGTGTACAACTAGAACAACAACAGCACGGAGCTGAAGTTAACATGACTAAATAGAATTAATAATGAGAAATAAACTCTTCTTCATCTTGTTCTTCTAAAAAAAATTAGATAGTGGTATTCGAAGCGTTTTATGACCAAGTGACAAAAACTATTAAGTAGCCGGCTAATTAAAAATAATGTCCATAAAATACCCAGCCGGGTCGTACTGGTCCCTACTTAGGGTTGCTGGTCTTTTTCCCATGGGGTCTGCTAAACGAGCGCAGGAAGAGCTGAACCTATTTTCAGGAGGAGATGAAATAAGACGCATGAGTGTAATTTTTAGCTAACTTGTCAAAACTCTTGGTCCCCTATTTCTCAGTGTGGGCAAAGAATAAGGTAAAGTTTTCAACGGCGCTGATTGAGCCGAATATTTGCAATAAAAAGAAAAGAATTAGCAAAATTTTTGAGAAAAGGGTAATGAATGAGCTGACTTTTCAATGTTTATCATTCATATCTTTCAGAAGCACTGGAAATATAAAGATAGCCAACAGACGTTTGGAAAAGAGTCAATGAACAAAATAAAAAAAAATACTGACTTGTTTTTTTTTCAAAATCTCAACTTTCGAAGTTCAAAACAAAAATGCCCTTACTTTCGAAGTTTAAAGAAAAAAGATGTCTTGCAGATCTTTGAATTCCTGAAAACAATTTATGACTAACACTTTTTTGATAAAATTAACTCAATTTGAGAAAACTGGATCAATCAGTTAAATTTTTATTTCGCTGGGAAACTTGAAAATTAAATTCCGCTTTCGAAATTAGAAGTCAATCACGTTTTTCGTGACCTTTACACTTTCGCATTTCGATAGAGGAGTTTGTTTTCCTTCTAATAAAATAATACTAACTGAATTTTAAGAAATTATATCAAAAGCCAAACCGCAAAAAATTAAATTTGATCCTGAACAAATTTTGATACTCTTGAAGAGTCCTGATCTTAAAAATTGTTGAACTTCAATTAACAATTTTTCGACAATGATCATTGTGGAATCTTGATATTCGATACCATTAAGATGTACCAAGTATAATTTGATCAATTTTCAAGCATCAATTGACAAATTATTACTGATTAAAAAAAGTTGGTTGAAAAAAAACATGAATGCAATCTGAGTACTTCAGGATGTTCATTCGAAATTTATGCAGGAGAGCTCGTATCATCATTAGTATACATGTTAAATCGTTTGTTATGTAAAACTTCTCCTAGTAGGCTGAACCAAAATCTATCAAGTTTTGTATACTGACATATACACATCGTGTGCCGATCATTATCAGAAGTTTTTTCAAATTGATTCATATAGCTATGGAGAAAAGTTTCACGTTCAAGTCTATTGCCTTGCAAATTTAATCTCGCGCATCATCAAGAATTAAACACGCGCATCAACGAGGACTGATTTAGGTAGTTTTTTCATGTTTGTTTCAACCCTCCATAATAAATGTTTCTGAAACTTTCTCAAGCACTATAAGTGTAAGCATGGCCAACAGACAGATTGAAAAGTGTCAATCAATGAACTTAAGGGAACGAAAAAAAAATGACTTTCAAAATAAATTATCAATTTTCGAATTTCAAGCACATAGCCAACAGACAGTTGGAAAAGAGTCAATGAAAGCAAGTTAATAACAAAAAACACTTACTTTTTGAAAAATCGCAGCTTTCGAATTTCAAAGAATACCATAAATGCCCTTATAGCTCTTTGAATTTCTAGATCAATTTATGATTGGCACTTTTTTGATAAATTTATAAGCTTTTATTTCGCTGGGAAATTCGTTAATTAAATTCTTCTTTCGAAACAAGAAGTCGATCACGTTTTTGGTGACCTTTAAGCTTTCGCTGTTAAATAATGGAGTTTTTTTTCCTTCTAATAAAATAATACTAACTGAATTTTAAGAAATAAAATCAAAAGCCAAACCGCAAAAAATTAAATTTGATCCTGAACAAATTTTGATACTCTTCCTGAAAACAAAACGAAAAAAATCATCGCGGCCCATAAAAGAGTCCTAATCTTAAGAATTGTTGAACTTCAATTAACAATTTTTCGACAGTGATCATTGTGGAATCTTGATATTCGATACCATTAAGATGTACCAAGTATAATTTGATCAATTTTCAAGCATCAATTGACAAATTAAATTATTACTGATTAAAAAAGTTGGTTGAAAAAAAAACATGAATGCAATCTGAGTACTTCAGGATGTTCATTCGAATTTTATGCAGGAGAGCTCTTATCATCTTTAGTATACATGTTAAATCGTTTGTTATGTAAAACTTCTCCTAGTAGGCTGAACCAAAATCTATCAAGTTTTGTATACTGACATATACACATCGTGTGCCGATCATTATCTGAAGTTTTTTTAAATTGATTCATATAGCTATGGAGAAAAGTTTCACGGTCAAGTCTATTGCCTTGCAAATTTAATCTCGCGCATCATCAAGAATTAAACACGCGCATCAACGAGGACTGATTTAGGTAGTTTTTTCATGTTTGTTTCAACCCTCCATAATAAATGTTTCTGAAACTTTCTCAAGCACTATAAGTGTAAGCATGGCCAACAGACAGATTGAAAAGTGTCAATCAATGAACTTAAGGGAACGAAAAAAAAATGATTTTCAAAATAAATTATCAATTTTCGAATTTCAAGCACATAGCCAACAGGCAGTTGGAAAAGAGTCAATGAAAGCAAGTTAATAACAAAAAACACTTACTTTTTGAAAAATCGCAACTTTCGAATTTCAAAGAATACCATAAATGCCCTTATAGCTCTTTGAATTTCTAGATCAATTTATGATTGGCAGTTTTTTGATAAATTTATAAGCTTTTATTTCGCTGGGAAATTCGTTAATTAAATTCTTCTTTCGAAACAATAAGTCGATCACGTTTTTGGTGACCTTTAAGCTTTCGCTGTTAGATAATGGAGTTTTTTTCCTGTTAACAAAGGAAATGAACCGATCTTAAATATAAATCATAAGTGAAACCGCGAAAAGTAAATTTGAGCCTTTTCAAAATTTCGAAATTTTGTCGACCACGACCATTTTTTTGAGGCGTTTTATGCACTCTCACTCGCGCCCTAAATCAGCTGGTGGACTCACCTCTCTTCTTTTGGAAGGTGGTCTAATTCTTTTAAAGTTGTTCCAATCGATATGGGAAAAAAGGGGTAAAAATGAAATTCAAGGACGTCTGGGTTTCCTTAAAAGTAATTCATTTTCACTTTTTAATAAGGTTCCTTCAATTGATACTTTTGACAAGTTCTGAAGCACTGAAACTGAGATAATTGTTGAAACTCAAATTAATAGATTTTTTGCAAAGACCGGAATAAATTTTGTCAGCTAATCTAAACTGAGCTATCAATGAATAAATTACCAATTATCAATTGAAGAGTTTTTTCTGAATGCAAGTGAAACTTGAATGAGAATGATTCATCTATCTTGCAAAAATAGACCACAGTATTAACGAAAACTTTAGTTTTAGTTAACCAAAAAAAATTCCAAATCTTATAGGAGCAAAGCGAGCTCTCTTACCTGCAGTTTGCAATTATTGTAGCAAAACAGCGTAATAACCAAAAAAAAAGTAAATTAATCGTCCATTTTTAAGCGTGAAGAAAGATGCAAGAAGGTTTAGTCCCACAATAACAAATGATTAAGTGCATACCGAGTAGCTTTTGTTTTTGGATGTGGCGTCTATCTTCATGTAGCCATACAGTTTGGCAGTGATTCCAATCAAGGTCATCAGCAAGGTCCACAGAGAGCAGAACATCTTCACATTCCCACTCGGTCTCTGCACCCTAATGAAGGGGGGAAGGGGCTCGTGGTGCATGTGGGGGTCATCCTGGATGGTCTTGTGTTGTTTTTTGTGATGGTGATGATGTTCTCCATTCTCACCAGAGACAGTGTTGCTAACTGAGGAAGAATCTGCATCTGAAAGCACAGCAACTCTATTCAATGATAAGATGATTGATGAAAAAATTTACCAGCTAGCGTAATTTTGGACTTCTCTTATAAAATCCAAAATCATTGGCAGCATTCAAAACAAAATCCTGCAACACGTGTCAGTAAAGTTCAAAAAATACAAAAAAAAACTTTCCGAAAAGTTTTGAAAATGAAACATTAAATCGAAATAATTAGACAATAAATATTAATACGCTTCAATTTTTCACAGGTTTTGCTTTTAAAGTCTTATTTAATCGCCTTTCGATGTTTTCTGGTTTTAATAACGTCTACACAAATAAATGGAGAAATATCAAATTTCGGTACAATAGTTTGATTTTGATTGTTCAAAGAGGCCAGCCGACAATTACTTTGAGCGATCAGTCAAATTTACACTCACCTGTTTCCATGTTGTTGTTGTTTGTGGTTGCAGAGGTTAGATTAGAGGTTGGTTTGTCCTTGATCTTATAGTGTATGTTGCAGCGAGAGCAGGACCCCTCACACGTCGACAACTGCGAGTCTGACAGCTGGAGAAAGCCAAATAATTAAAATAGTATAAAACAGTTTGTTAGAACAAAAAAGTTTCCGACCTAGAAACAGATGCTGGACTATTGAGTTCAAATAGTTTTTAAAACTTTGACATGCCATTGAGTTTTCTTAATGTCTAATCAGATTTTATTTGATGTCATTTTTACTGTACTTCCTTCGGGGCAAAATATTACCTTCCTGAAGATTCCGGGAAACAGGGAAAATTATTTAACACAAACAAAAGACAGAAACCGACTGCTCATATAAGATAAGGCCAAAGCTCTCTTAATGTTCGGACAGCACTTAAAGATAACTGTCGTAAAATAAAAAAATCAATACAAATTACAAAAAACAAGTACTACTCAAAAATTTCTCTTATATTTATAAATTTCCACGCGCTAGTTTTCAAAATAATTTTTTTTCTATTAAAAATCATGTTACAGGCTATAGCAATGTCAAGAAGGAAGTGATATATTTGTCATCTATTAGCTAGTTATTTGGAAAATCAAATTGCCTCAATTCAGTTTTGAATTGAGTTATCCTGTCGCAGAACTACCCGTCAATAGGAAACGAGTGAACGCACTAATTATCCCGCATTGGTTAATTTCATACCACAATAACTTTTACTTTTTGTTCCGACTTTCGATACGAAAGTAACGGAATATTTGTGCTCGAGGTGGGTTTTTTTTCTTCAGACAAATTTCGACTTTTTAACTAGCCATTTTTGACGGAATTTTTTTATATCATTCAATTGACAAATTATTACTGATTAAAAAAAGTTGGTTGAAAAAAAACATGAATGCAATCTGAGTACTTCAGGATGTTCATTCGAAATTTATGCAGGAGAGCTCGTATCATCATTAGTATACATGTTAAATCGTTTGTTATGTAAAACTTCTCCTAGTAGGCTGAACCAAAATCTATCAAGTTTTGTATACTGACATATACACATCGTGTGCCGATCATTATCAGAAGTTTTTTCAAATTGATTCATATAGCTATGGAGAAAAGTTTCACGTTCAAGTCTATTGCCTTGCAAATTTAATCTCGCGCATCATCAAGAATTAAACACGCGCATCAACGAGGACTGATTTAGGTAGTTTTTTCATGTTTGTTTCAACCCTCCATAATAAATGTTTCTGAAACTTTCTCAAGCACTATAAGTGTAAGCATGGCCAACAGACAGATTGAAAAGTGTCAATCAATGAACTTAAGGGAACGAAAAAAAAATGACTTTCAAAATAAGTTATCAATTTTCGAATTTCAAGCACATAGCCAACAGACAGTTGGAAAAGAGTCAATGAAAGCAAGTTAATAACAAAAAACACTTACTTTTTGAAAAATCGCAGCTTTCGAATTTCAAAGAATACCATAAATGCCCTTATAGCTCTTTGAATTTCTAGATCAATTTATGATTGGCACTTTTTTGATAAATTTATAAGCTTTTATTTCGCTGGGAAATTCGTTAATTAAATTCTTCTTTCGAAACAAGAAGTCGATCACGTTTTTGGTGACCTTTAAGCTTTCGCTGTTAAATAATGGAGTTTTTTTTCCTTCTAATAAAATAATACTAACTGAATTTTAAGAAATAAAATCAAAAGCCAAACCGCAAAAAATTAAATTTGATCCTGAACAAATTTTGATACTCTTCCTGAAAACAAAACGAAAAAAATCATCGCGGCCCATAAAAGAGTCCTAATCTTAAGAATTGTTGAACTTCAATTAACAATTTTTCGACAGTGATCATTGTGGAATCTTGATATTCGATACCATTAAGATGTACCAAGTATAATTTGATCAATTTTCAAGCATCAATTGACAAATTAAATTATTACTGATTAAAAAAGTTGGTTGAAAAAAAAACATGAATGCAATCTGAGTACTTCAGGATGTTCATTCGAATTTTATGCAGGAGAGCTCTTATCATCTTTAGTATACATGTTAAATCGTTTGTTATGTAAAACTTCTCCTAGTAGGCTGAACCAAAATCTATCAAGTTTTGTATACTGACATATACACATCGTGTGCCGATCATTATCTGAAGTTTTTTTAAATTGATTCATATAGCTATGGAGAAAAGTTTCACGGTCAAGTCTATTGCCTTGCAAATTTAATCTCGCGCATCATCAAGAATTAAACACGCGCATCAACGAGGACTGATTTAGGTAGTTTTTTCATGTTTGTTTCAACCCTCCATAATAAATGTTTCTGAAACTTTCTCAAGCACTATAAGTGTAAGCATGGCCAACAGACAGATTGAAAAGTGTCAATCAATGAACTTAAGGGAACGAAAAAAAAATGACTTTCAAAATAAATTATCAATTTTCGAATTTCAAGCACATAGCCAACAGGCAGTTGGAAAAGAGTCAATGAAAGCAAGTTAATAACAAAAAACACTTACTTTTTGAAAAATCGCAACTTTCGAATTTCAAAGAATACCATAAATGCCCTTATAGCTCTTTGAATTTCTAGATCAATTTATGATTGGCAGTTTTTTGATAAATTTATAAGCTTTTATTTCGCTGGGAAATTCGTTAATTAAATTCTTCTTTCGAAACAATAAGTCGATCACGTTTTTGGTGACCTTTAAGCTTTCGCTGTTAGATAATGGAGTTTTTTTCCTGTTAACAAAGGAAATGAACCGATCTTAAATATAAATCATAAGTGAAACCGCGAAAAGTAAATTTGAGCCTTTTCAAAATTTCGAAATTTTGTCGACCACGACCATTTTTTTGAGGCGTTTTATGCACTCTCACTCGCGCCCTAAATCAGCTGGTGGACTCACCTCTCTTCTTTTGGAAGGTGGTCTAATTCTTTTAAAGTTGTTCCAATCGATATGGGAAAAAAGGGGCAAAAATGAAATTCAAGGACGTCTGGGTTTCCTTAAAAGTAATTCATTTTCACTTTTTAATAAGGTTCCTTCAATTGATACTTTTGACAAGTTCTGAAGCACTGAAACTGAGATAATTGTTGAAACTCAAATTAATAGATTTTTTGCAAAGACCGGAATAAATTTTGTCAGCTAATCTAAACTGAGCTATCAATGAATAAATTACCAATTATCAATTGAAGAGTTTTTTCTGAATGCAAGTGAAACTTGAATGAGAATGATTCATCTATCTTGCAAAAATAGACCACAGTATTAACGAAAACTTTAGTTTTAGTTAACCAAAAAAAATTCCAAATCTTATAGGAGCAAAGCGAGCTCTCTTACCTGCAGTTTGCAATTATTGTAGCAAAACAGCGTAATAACCAAAAAAAAAGTAAATTAATCGTCCATTTTTAAGCGTGAAGAAAGATGCAAGAAGGTTTAGTCCCACAATAACAAATGATTAAGTGCATACCGAGTAGCTTTTGTTTTTGGATGTGGCGTCTATCTTCATGTAGCCATACAGTTTGGCAGTGATTCCAATCAAGGTCATCAGCAAGGTCCACAGAGAGCAGAACATCTTCACATTCCCACTCGGTCTCTGCACCCTAATGAAGGGGGGAAGGGGCTCGTGGTGCATGTGGGGGTCATCCTGGATGGTCTTGTGTTGTTTTTTGTGATGGTGATGATGTTCTCCATTCTCACCAGAGACAGTGTTGCTAACTGAGGAAGAATCTGCATCTGAAAGCACAGCAACTCTATTCAATGATAAGATGATTGATGAAAAAATTTACCAGCTAGCGTAATTTTGGACTTCTCTTATAAAATCCAAAATCATTGGCAGCATTCAAAACAAAATCCTGCAACACGTGTCAGTAAAGTTCAAAAAATACAAAAAAAAACTTTCCGAAAAGTTTTGAAAATGAAACATTAAATCGAAATAATTAGACAATAAATATTAATACGCTTCAATTTTTCACAGGTTTTGCTTTTAAAGTCTTATTTAATCGCCTTTCGATGTTTTCTGGTTTTAATAACGTCTACACAAATAAATGGAGAAATATCAAATTTCGGTACAATAGTTTGATTTTGATTGTTCAAAGAGGCCAGCCGACAATTACTTTGAGCGATCAGTCAAATTTACACTCACCTGTTTCCATGTTGTTGTTGTTTGTGGTTGCAGAGGTTAGATTAGAGGTTGGTTTGTCCTTGATCTTATAGTGTATGTTGCAGCGAGAGCAGGACCCCTCACACGTCGACAACTGCGAGTCTGACAGCTGGAGAAAGCCAAATAATTAAAATAGTATAAAACAGTTTGTTAGAACAAAAAAGTTTCCGACCTAGAAACAGATGCTGGACTATTGAGTTCAAATAGTTTTTAAAACTTTGACATGCCATTGAGTTTTCTTAATGTCTAATCAGATTTTATTTGATGTCATTTTTACTGTACTTCCTTCGGGGCAAAATATTACCTTCCTGAAGATTCCGGGAAACAGGGAAAATTATTTAACACAAACAAAAGACAGAAACCGACTGCTCATATAAGATAAGGCCAAAGCTCTCTTAATGTTCGGACAGCACTTAAAGATAACTGTCGTAAAATAAAAAAATCAATACAAATTACAAAAAACAAGTACTACTCAAAAATTTCTCTTATATTTATAAATTTCCACGCGCTAGTTTTCAAAATAATTTTTTTTCTATTAAAAATCATGTTACAGGCTATAGCAATGTCAAGAAGGAAGTGATATATTTGTCATCTATTAGCTAGTTATTTGGAAAATCAAATTGCCTCAATTCAGTTTTGAATTGAGTTATCCTGTCGCAGAACTACCCGTCAATAGGAAACGAGTGAACGCACTAATTATCCCGCATTGGTTAATTTCATACCACAATAACTTTTACTTTTTGTTCCGACTTTCGATACGAAAGTAACGGAATATTTGTGCTCGAGGTGGGTTTTTTTTCTTCAGACAAATTTCGACTTTTTAACTAGCCATTTTTGACGGAATTTTTTTATATCATTCGAAAGGTATTGTTGTCTTGAGCGCAAATTTGAAAATATATTTCACCTGTGATGGTTTGTTACAAGGAGCGAAATCTATCCTTTTGTACTTTATGTGGCGTGTGGGGGATGATTTTCATAAAAAATTTCAAATTTTACAAAAAAAAGATTCATTTTAGAAAAAAAAAAGATACAAAAATTGTCAATTAAAGCGCGCGTTATTTCTATTTTGGTATAATGCCTCACAGGCTAGCAGCAAATCAAACAGTTTTTAAAAAAATGTATTTTCTTTTTAAAAAAACTTTAAAAATAGACTTTTTTGTTTGAATCAGAATTTGTGATTACATTAGAGTAATTCCTAACTCACAAAAAGAAGAAAGAGTCAGACTCCCAAGTTAAAAGTTACCACAAATGCTAACTAAGGGGAGCCGGTTACTGTTCAGAGTGTTCCAACCACAGTCTTAGAAAAATACAAAGAAATTAGTGTTGTTTTTTCCGCATGGTGTGATAAAAAGATGTGAACAAAAAAAAATTTAGGCAGATTTGACAGTCATAACAAAAAGGCCATTTGGAAAATAGCTTTTCAAGAAAACTGACTAGAAAAACGAAAAAAAAATACAAAATTTTATGCAGAAGTTTTTGGAATTTTTAAACTTTGTTTACGAAATGGCGCTAAAAAACTCCAAAAACTACTTTTATTTGAGTACAAAAAAATTTTCACGGCTTAAAGTAAGCCTAAATAAGCTATTGTAAGCCTACACGTTCACAACATATTAGTTCCAAATACGATCAAAAATCAAAATTTTCAAACCGGTTTTTCTCGACACTGTGTAAAAAAATGTTACATTTTTTATTGTAGTTCAAATTACGATTGAAAGTGCTTTAATATGATATATCACTAGACCCATTCCGATAATTAGTTTTGGTACCTGATTTTCCGTGGACAACAAAAAGAAAAATAACTAAAACACACCCGAATTCAAATTTCCTCCCCATTTTTAAATGGTCGGAACAAAAAGAAACCGAGTGCAAGCGCAACAAGCTATACTCGATCTCCACACGCCTCGCTTCGTTTAATTCCCTGTTCCTCTTTTTTATTGCTTGTTTGTTAATGCTCGTAATAGGGATGTTTTAAGCAATTTCTGTATAATGTGTCATGCTTTTTTTGCTTGGTTCAAATGATGAACTAAAACCGATCTAATTAAGCTAATTCAAACCGTCAACTCTGTACTCACTTCGCGCTCAAAAACATTTCAAATTAAATTAAGGCAATCATTATTAGTCTAAACGCCACACAACTAAGTTACAGGTCTGGGAGTATTTTACATGTTAAACAAGGCGAAAACACGTTTTAAAACAGAAATATAAAACAGTGTTTCTTATTTTATAATCTTTTACGCAAAAAACTAGGGATCTCTGTGAGTCGAGCCGCGCCGAGAAGGGTATTAGAGTGGCAAAGAGGTTGGGTTTTGAAACAGTGTTGGTTGATATTCCTATTGGCTCTCGTTTCCGGAGTTCCCAACAAAGCTGGATTAGAAAGTCGTTTCTCAACTACAAGAATGACTCATGAAAAGTTAAGAAACTAAATGGAGGCTTAAATGCGGAAAAACATGCACTTCTTTACCACGAGGTGAACAAACTGAAACAAAAAAAAACAATAAAACTTTTTTTAAATAACACTGTTTAATTGATTTCTTCAAAAACAAAAGAATTTTCTTCCCCAACTCTCCTAAGTTAAATTTCTATCACTTAGTACTTGACATTTATACAAGAATTTCATGAAATGTACATATTGAAGACGTTGAAAAAAAAATTATATTAGGCAAAACAAAGGGCAATCGAAACATTCAAGTCTTGGCCCTGACCCGGGTTGATCTCCAGAGAACAAAAACGCTAATCATACAAATCCATAAATTAAGTCTATGAAAGAATACTAGTTATAGAGATTTCATACATTTTGCTAAAATGGTGTCATCGAATTTCAAAGAATTTTTTCTTGTTTTGGCATAAAAGTCGGTGTATCGTACCAAATAAGAAAATTTTTTGTCAAAATAAACGCTAATCATATAATTTTCATATAAGGAAATTGTATAACTAGCATTTTTTTGATGCCGACAACAAATTTTTTTTGTTTTTTTTCACCGAAAATCGACTTTTGTTCTCAAACAAACATTTTCCAAAAAAATATGAAAATTATATGACTAAAATTTTTGGTCAACCCGGGGATAAAAATAATTTTATCACTATAAGAGTCAATAAACGTCAAAAACACATAAAAAAAAACACTTACTTAGGCTAGAAAATTGTCGCAGAGCATTTCTTGCAAATAGTTTTTTTTCTGGCGTTTCCAACCATATGGTTTTAATATTTATCAATTAAATCACTTCACAAAACAAATACTTCCATTTTACTTAAAAAGAGTAGGATGATGGGGAGGATAATTTAAGGAGGGAGTTAGAATGCGACTCCTAATCCGATTAAAAAATCAAGTAATGGTAACCACGTCATTCAGCGCAATATGGCGCGCCTCATTGAACTAAGTGACAAGTAGACCTCAAATACAAGCCGAGAAAGAAGTTAAGATCATTAAATTGAAAGTCCAAATTTAAAGTAAAAATGAATTATATCATATCATTTTTAAAGCGTTTAATTATAATTTTGTTCTTCGAATGTAATTGTAGATTAAAATATGTAGATAAAATGTTTCACAACAAATATTTATGCTCAACGAAGGTTATAAAAGACGGATTTTGGGCCGCAGAAAATATTTGGGCTCAATATTGCGAAAGGATAAGCATGATTAGTTTTGTGTGTCTGACCGTCGCATATTGTTTTGCTTAATTACACCAGCAAAAAACACCAGTTGTACAAATACGAAAACATAAAAGCGTTTGAATTCGATAAAAGATTTCTTCAAAACTGAAGGAGCTCCTTTAAAACTAACAAATCACCCACTGGCTTTCGCATAACTAGCAGAGAATGCGTTTAAGTATGATCAAAAAGCTTAAAACAATCAATAATATTGACTTAAGGCGACAAAAAATTGAAGCAGATTTACTTTAACCATTGGATGAAAAAAGATTAAATATGTCCTACCTGCTTACTTGGCCTAAATAACCGAGCTTTCAAATTTGTGTAAAACATTTTACATTATTTGATTACCAGGAATTTTTTTAAATTTTCAAAAGAAATCGCCATCCAGACAAGCAAAAATATCTGACTATTGATGTAAATAATTTATAAATTCCAAATACTTTTATACTTTGAATGGATTTGATACGTTTTTATGCCCATTTCCACCTAACAATGCGAAAATGATCTACGAGGATTTTTTTAAGCAGCATTTCAAATAGCTACAAAAGAACCAAGAAATCGATCTATGTCAAGATTATGCGCAACAATCTGTTCAAATTTATAGGTTGTCTGGGCCGTTGAAAATACTTATAAATCTTCAAAACGAAAAAATCAAACTCATCAGGGAAATATTTTTGCAATAGCTGATACCAATAAAAATAAACAAAAATTGTTGACTAGGCTTATCAGCGCAACAACGCACGTAACTAAACCTGAAAAAATAAAGAAGACTGCAAAAAATAAAAGTGAAATAAACGAATTTATCGATGATTATGCTTTTGTGGAATTATACTTTACGAAGTCCAGCAAAACCTTCCAAAAAGTACCCAAAAAAGATCCTTGCCTGTTCGAGATGCAAATTGAAATTATTAGCTCAAAATTTTCTATAACAGGGAATTAATTTTTCGTAAATTTATCTGCTTTTTTTTTAATTCCAAGCGGACGTTCTTGTAATCTTTGGTAACTTGTTTCATTTTTGACCGACTTTTCGAAAATGATTGCCAAGTAAATAGATTCCTGATTGTACATACTCTTATAGGGCCCTTCCGTGAAATTACTATTGTGCATTTTGTGCAAAATAGTGGTTGACTTTCGATTGTCAGTATTTTTCAGCTAAATGGACTTATCCCTGATTCTGATGTTCGAAATGACGATGGTTAAATTTTTTCTAGGAAAAATTAAAATCGAACTTTTCTGGAAATGAATAGCATAAGAGAGCCGCAAACAATCCGAGCCGTCTTCTCCCATCAGCGCCTTCACGATGCAAAATTGAGGCTCAGCCGCTTTAAATCAAACTGAATATTGCAAATAATTTCACTCAGCCAAATGATTCGGTTCCTCTGACATATAAAAACAATGAAAGGTCAGGAGCTTTCACGCTATATTGCAATCACTCTCATTAACCATTTTCAAATATTT